TATGAAATGTTCTGTTTCATTGGCCAAAGTATGTTGCCTGTCTCTGGATATTGCATGCCTTGATTTGGATGAGCATCTCTGTGTGTGATGAAAGGAAGATACCATTTAGACCTGCTAATCTTATATGTATTTTCTGCTCTGGCATAGGGCCCCCAGTAGGTGACATAGTTCCAGTTGTAACCTAAATATACAGAACAGAATGATAATAACATCCCACTTCTATTTAGTCTTTCAAAACAATAATGACTAGAAATGCAAGGGGTAATGATTGCATGATAGCTATGCTTTTTTTTTAAACAAACCCCACCCCCACCCCCAGTACTTCCTAATGGATTGCCATCTGTTCAACTTTTTGTCAGGAAATATTTATCCTGATTAACATAGTCACCAATGGGGTGGAGCTGAAGATTACACATAGAGTTTCTAAATATTTGGAATTCTTTTCCTTTTGTTCATATTAACAGTTCATCCAAAGCATTCTTTCTTTGGTATGTATTACATAAATGTAAGATTTCAGAAATTGTTTTAATAAAATATAATGATGAGCATCATAAAACAATTCTGTAGTTTTCAATAGTATCCTGCAAAGTACAGGCTATTTTTAAATAGTGATCAACAGATTCATCTTTGTTTTGAATGTATAGCAGGAACTTTTCTGTCTTGATTTGCAGCCTGTTGTAATCTTCTACAGAGAATATATCTATAACCAAGCTACTGACTTTAATCATGCCCAAATCAAGACTTTAAAAATTCTTAGGAAGCTTTTAGTTACGTTACAGATTAAAAATGAAAAGCTTTAAGCCTCTTGGAAGTTGTACATGGACAGATTTTATTTTCATTCTCTTGTGATGCAATTCTGCATTCACTTGCCTACCAATAACCTCAGTGGGACTTATTTCTGAATAAATATGTATAGGATTGTGTTGTAAAATGCACAAATAAGTAGGATTAAAAAAATAAATTAGAAAGTAAATTATTCTATTATTATAATGCCATTAATAAAACAATGGTTTTTGGGGGGCTGAAGGTTTACTTGGTGCAGTGAAAATATTCTCAGGATACCTATTTTCTGATAAATTTCTACTCTGCAAAAATAAAGTCTCTGTCCATTACATCATCAAACAAAAATGGCTGGGAGGATTTTCACTCAGTTTGGAAGGTATGTTTGGGATGAGGTGACTTTAAATATAAGCTAAGCAACATATATAACATCCACCGCCCCACATCCCAATTATGTTTTCACTAGATTTTCATCAAATTTGGGGGATATTCTGGGATAGTCTGAGACAAAATATAGGGGAAAGTGGTGTACACAAAATTCAGTTTGGAAGCCCGAGGGCATCTCAATCATATTTTAGTCACACAGAGTAATACAACATATTACTTGAAAAAAATTGGTGAACGGAGTTTTTAAAAATTAAGTATTTGATGTTTTGTTCTAGCTACATAAATAAAATCAAGCTGCTGTCTGTTTTGTTACTGCAGTACATGTTAGTGGATTTTCACCAAATTTGGAGAAAATGTTTGGGATCACTTGACAACATGGCATACACAAAATTCACGGGGAGAGTGGGGAGCCATTCAAATAGTTTCATTGATACAGAGTGGCATGTTTGGCAGATGATTGGAAGAGGCATGCTCTCTCAAGGGCAAATGAGACTAATGTGCAAGATGATGAACATTTGAGTACCCAAAGAGACAGGCATTCATTCTCCAGAGCAGTTGAAATGCAACTATTATTAACAGGGGTCACTGATTGCCTCAGTCAACACTGGGAATTACTGCTAGTCCCTAATATTACTATGTAAAACATTGAGCCAGTGTCATGAAATAGTTTGAGTGGTGGACAAGAACCACCTTGTTTGAAACCCTGCTCATGGAAAGAAAACCCAGTGATAGGGTCGTCTTGGGTTCCCCATAAGTCAGAAATTAATTGAAAGCCCACAATAACATGAATGGGTCACGAATTGTTGGTGACATATAAAGATGTAAGTCCAATGACAACATGTCTCTAGGGTACCTTTATCATATTGTGCCCAATTATAAGAACACAGATGATTGTTGGCTGCCCTGCACCCTCCTTAGAGCATTAAAAGGCTACAGAAGGGCTCCACAAAATACATATGAGTCTTCTGTACAGGAAGAAGATGGTGCTTCCATCAATGCAACATCTCAGTCCATGTTTAAAAAATAATCACAAGGTCAATGTTTTCTGCCTTTCAAAGTCACTGTAACAATCAAGTGTGAAACAGGATTCTTCAGATTCAGTCTCAAAATATGACCAATTGAGGCTAGAACAAGCATCCCATCCACCATCAGTGTAAGACAGGGCTTGAAAAGGTTCCTTTTTTTTCATAATACAACTCCCAGTTACTGACAGGGGGTCATGGGAACTGTACTCTAAAAAGGAACTTTTCCAAGCTGTGGATTACAAAATCAAACTATGAGTAAGAAGACCCATGTTCAAATGCTTGCCCAGCCATGAAGATCAATAAGTAAGCTTGCAGGTTAGCCTACACTATGGGGTTGTTTTGAAGACTGATGGGTGAAAAATAACTTCATGTACCAGCCTTTCCCATTCAACAACATTCTAGATATACTGGACTACACTTCCTGCTAAATCTAGTCAGCACAGAGCTGGAGATTATGGTAGTTGAGTCCAACATATCCAGAGTGACAAGGTGACAATCATTTTGTACACACCACCCTGAACTTAGATAGAATTAGACAGAATACTTAATGCGAAGAAGAAGAAATTGTCTTCAGGAATGCCCTGTGCTCCCAATGCAAACAATAGTAATATCAAAATAACAAAACAGAACATACAAATCACAATATTTCCCATTATATGCATTACTTTAAGGCACAGGATTCATTCCTTATTCACACTAATAATAAAGTCATGACACCCAGATACTCATACTGGGTCCCATGTTCACACTTCCCATGACTTTAGCAGCCTCTGCCTCTTCCACTTTTCTTTTTTCTCACTACACTCCTAATCTGCTCATTTCCCTGCTCTACAGTCTCCCTAATGTTGGGATCTTCCAGCAAGCTTTCTAGTCCTTAGCATGCTGCTCCATAAAATCTGTGTAGGTTTAATCTCAGCCAAAGTGATAGCTTCCCATTTTCTCTCAGTAACCAGAAAGCAAATATTCTGACAGCTTTGGAATGTCAGCAGCACAACCAAAGAATATCAGAAGCTTCCCAAGCACAGCACGGCAGCTTTCAAACCAGCTTTTGATTTTCTACATGTGCAAACATATCCTTGTCTTGTGAGAGATTATTCTGTAGAATCTTTACGAAGAAAGTCAGGGAGAAAAGGGATGAAGAAAAAAGAAGAGCCACCACCAAAAAGTAATTTGCACCACCTCTGCCATTACTGCTGATATATTAGGACAGAGCAGTCACAGGTAACAAACAGCACACTGGAGACGTTTGCTCTGGCAATGCTAGACAGCTAAATAAATGTGTAATAATAAGGAAAGGTCATTCCAGGTCATGCAAATCAAATTAATAGCCCCTTCACATACACTACCATCCACTCACTATTTACACAGTAATAACAGAGCAGATTCCCCCATCCAATCTCTGCTTCCAATGAATGCTTACATGTGGAGTGATGAGTCTCATCCACATTAAGGATCACTAGTTTGGAAACAAGGGGCCTTGTATATTTTAGTGGTGACAAGTCCCTAACATCTCCAGGCAACAAAGACTGTGCCAAACAACCTTTATTGTGTTAAGTTTTCCGCTTTCCAAACTGGCACAGAAGTGCTCTCTGTCTGTCTCTTTCACACATATAAACACCCTGGTATGGTAAACACATAAACAATCAAGCCATGTTGATCCATTATAGCAATGCTAAAATCAATGCATTAGCAAAACATGCCTTTATAATGACCAGCCACAACACTCTCAGCAGCATTGTGAGATTTCCAGATCTCTTCATCCCAAAAGAGGTTGGGGCGGGGAGGCTGACTTGATGCTGGAGTCCTGAATGCTTATGACTAAGATGTCCGGATTTCAACATCCAGTGAGCTCCCCCCTTTTTTTGTTTTATTCATGCTGCCCTTTTCATTTTTGTCAGACAGTACCAGATGAAGTGTCCCAGAGAGTTCAGTGTGACCAGATGTCATACCTGCGAAGGAAGACAAGGCACCGCAAAATAGAGGACATTCAAGAAAATGTAGGTCATAGCAAAGTAAAAGCTTAAAAAACACTCTTAGTCATGCTCAGAATGGAGGACATTTTAAAATTCCTCCTGGACAGAAGGCTGAAACGTAGGACATGTCTGGAAAAGGAGGATGCCTGGTCATCCTGGGATAACTTGAAAGCATGCTTTTGATTTTAGCACTTTTTGTCAGTCCCAAATATAAACCTACTGTGGGCTAAAGTTTCCCTCCTTCTTTTTCCAGTTACTTTCTCCCTGCTTCATTCACACAAACACACCATCTCACTACATTGCCTCAAGCCCTCCTCTTGTCAAGAAGCAAAAAAGGAAATAAAAAAGGTTCTCCCCACCTTAGTCATAATAACAATAATACTAATAATTTTTTATTTCTTTCCTGTTTCTCCTAAAGGCTCCAGGATGGGCACAACACATTAAAATACAAAACACAATTTAAAAAAGAAAGAAAGAAAGAAAGAAAGAAACCACAAAGAAAATCATCTAAAAATAGAACAAAATTACATTAAGATGTACAAAAGTTAAAAGAATTGACTAAAATACACATACTCCATTTAAAAAATGAACCAAAAACCAACCAACAACACCCTGGTATGATAAATATTTAATCAGAGTGGAGTAATGGCTTGAGCGTTGGATTAGAACTCTGGAGATCAGGGTTTGAATCTCAGCAATACTAGGATGAAAATCCACTGGGTGACCACCTTGGGCCACAAGTCACACTCTCTCAGCCTCAGAGGATGCCCCCGCCCCCTCTGAAGAAACTTGCCAAACAACACTCTGGTATGATTATACATTTAATAAATATTTAATCAGAGTCGGGTAGTGGTTTGAGCGTTGGATTAGGACTCTGGAGACCAGGGTTCGAATCCCGGCTCTGCTAGGATGAAAACCCACGGGGCTGCAAGTCACACAAAACCTTGGGCTGCAAGTCACACTCTCTCAGCCTCAGAGAATGCCCCCCC